AGGTGGTAGGGCGCCAGACAGAGGGCTAAGACCAGCAGGAGCCCCAGGACCATGGTCGTGGCCGCGGGCCGGTGCGGGCCGGCGGGGACGGGGTTTGGGCTCGAGGGCGCCGCGAGCGCCGGCGCCAGGCTCACATAGGCCGCGAGCACCAGCAGGAAGGCGGCAGCGAAGGCCACGGGGGTGTAGGCTAGGCCCGAGCGCGCCCATCGGTGCTCCAGCGGGACCCGGGCGCAGCGCGTGCGGCGCGGCCAGCGAGGGCGCGGCGCAGGCCAGGCCGGCCAGCCAGGCGGCAGCGCAGGCACCGCGAGAAGGGCCCGGCGGCGCAAGGCCAGGCGGGCGGCCGCCCTCGGTTGCGCAGGCGACCCGCGCACTGAGCCGCAGCAGCACACGCTGATGAGCGCGGTGAAGGCCACTGCCGCGTAGGTGGACACGTAGTAGGCCGCCCCGGCCGCGCGGCAGGTGGTTTCCAGGAAGGGCCAGTGGGCCAGGCGCAGGTAGTAGGAGAGCCACAGCGGCAGGGTGAGCGTGAAGAGCACGTCGGCCAGGGCCAGGTTAAGCAGGTAGAGGCGCAGGGCCTGTCCCTGTTACCCATCGCTGAGGACGAACACAGCCAGGGCCGCCACATTGGCGGGTAGCCCCAGGCCCAGCGCCAAAGCATAAGCCGTGGGCACCACGATGAAGTGAGCAGGGTCATCCCAAAGGCTGCAGCCTTCAACTCCCAGGTCCCCAGCACTGCTGTTCATCTCTGACCTCGAACTGGACAGAGGAAGAGAGGTCACAGGATAGGCTAGCTATAAAAGAAGCCCCCACCCATTTTTTCCCCAGTCCCCTCTTCTTTAGTTTTTGTTGGGAGGAGACACTAAAGGCAATGAATCCACGTGAGAGGGGATGGAGACCTAACTTAGCTAGCAGCTGTTGGGGATGGAGAGGAGGGGTTGGGCTCCAGAGTTCTTGGTGACAAGCAGTACATGAAGAAGCGGGTGTGCTAAATAACTTGGACATTGTCAACCTTGCTACCAGGATGGTAGCAGTGCCCCTCATAGATGAGTATGCTTCAGACCAGTGGGGCGCAGCCACATGCAGTGGGCCACATAGGGCTGAGCCAACAGGGAGTTCTGGAGAAACAGGCTAGAAAATAGAGTCCTTCCCAGAAAAAGCCCCACTCCCCTCCCTGTGCCACCTAGCGCAGTGGAGGAAGGAGTAATGGAAGGGTGAGAGGGATGCTCTTGTGATGGACGCAGGGACTCAGAGGACAGGCCTATGCACAGGGACCCTGGACTTGCTGTCTCTGGGAGGTGCCCCAGGCTTGCCTAGAGCACCCTTGGCAGGGCTGAAAAGGTTTCCCAACCTGCAAGCCTTCCAGCCTGCCGGCCCCTTTACCTTTTGACCAGAGGGAAGTCCTGGGTCAGTCTCAAAACTCTGGACAGAAAAGCAAAAAGAACAGGTCCAGGAGTCAGGCACATTCTGGATATACATTTATTTGCCATATGACCTTGGGCAAATTACTCAGTTTCACTGAGCCTGTCTTTGCTGCAGTAAAATGAAGATTAAAGTACCTACCTCGCAGGGTTGTTGGGAGGATTATGAAAAACATAAGTAAAACTCTGAGCCCTGTGGCTGACACTGGGGAGATACTTCATTACTGTCAGCCTCCTTCCCTTCTAGGCAGCACACAGATAAATATGTACACCCACACAGGCACACACAGTGTTAGCATCAGACACCCCAAGCAAATAAAACAACACAATAATGCCCAGGCAGGTTTCTACCCTCTGCCCAAGGGAGGGAAGTGCCCAAGCCACTGTCCTGTTACTATTTTTGACACATAGGTAAACAACCCTCAGGTGTCCCAAAACTCAGTTCCTCCAATACCAAAATCCAGTTTTCTATGTTTGAGCCGCCTCTTGGGCTCTAATTCTTTCTGGGACCCTGAATGATTGTATTTCCATCTCCATCTACCCTCAGTTCTGTCCACCATGGCTCCAGCTCCCAATAGTCCCCACCCTGAATATCCCTTTGCCATCTCAACTAGATTATTATCCTACCTCTTACTGTTCTAGCTGCTGGAGCTCTCTCTGGAGTCCTGAGATCTTGGCTTTAAGGAACTGAAACCGGGCAGAATCCTCTCCCACCACATATCCTAGACCCTCCCATCAGCCAGCTAATCCCCAGGACATGACATTAGGAATGGGCCCAACAGCTGGAAGGACTGAGGCCCACCTGTGGCAGCTGTGAGCTGGGTTTGGGGGTCCAGCCAGGCCCCAAGGGAAGGGAGTGTCACTGCAGGGCCAGAAGGCCTTCAGCATAGGGAGCCAGCTAGAAAGGTATTAGGAAGACCAGGCAGCTGAACGTCATTGTGCTGAGCTGACCTAGATTTAGGCTGTGGTTTGGGGGGCCTATTTCATGAGGCCTAGCTTCAACTTGGGCTGCTGAGGCACTGCTGGGGCTTAGATACTCCTGCTGCTGTCTCTCCCAACTGCTTCTGCACACCAGCTGCCCAGCCACTTCTCCAGTGCCCTGACTTTCCTGCAGCTGCCCGGCCAGCCCTACAGCACGTCTGGGGGGCCCAGTAGCTCTTATCAGCCTATAGGCAGGGCCTTGCTAAGCAGGACTTCTCAATCTAATGCCAGCTGCAAGAGATCTGACTCAAAGTTCTGGCTGGCGACAGGCTGACTGTGGCATCCTGGAAGGGGTGGAGAAAGTATGAGGCCAGGATCCTAAGGGCTCCAGGCTCTGTTTTCCTAGGCTTCAAATTTTTCATGCAGAGAAGCAGGGCAGAGTGACATTGCACAGGTCATCCTATTATCTACCTTCAAGTTGGAGAGAGTAGAGGTGCCCTGCTTGTCCATTTTCAGTTTTAAAAACTGTGGCTGCAAAAAGTATGGGTTTTGGACTGAATCAGGCCTTAGTTCCAGTTTGGTCTGACAGACCCTTAGGCTCTCCAAATCCATTTGTCCTCTATAAAACAAACTGAAAAACATTAAGTATGTGTTTTTAAGCTGATATTTAATAATGGCTAGTGTGTACTGATCACATATTATGGGTCAGACCATTATTATCCACATTTGGCAAACAAGCTAGTTAGTGGCAGAAACTATCTTCCCTCCCCTTCTTCCTTGCTGACTAGCTTAAGTCCATCATGGGAATCCTTACAGTACTTGATGAAGGAATGGAAATCTGACATAATTCTGGTCGGTGAGATGTACGAGGTCTTTTAAGCCAACTTTTCTCTCTTCAACTTTGGAAGCTGTGTGCCAACTGCGCTGTCTGGAACTGCTGCAGCTATTCTGCAACTCTGAGGGCAGCAGTCAATAAACATAAGCAGCAGGACAGAAAGCTGAAAGAATGATGATCCTTGATAATAACCATCTTAACAGCCAAATTAGCCAACATTGAAACCAAAGCTATGTTATCATAGACCATATATTTATGTGGTATCTATCTATCCTTGCTGTAGGCTGATCACATCACTGTGCTTTCAGATATAAGAAGAAAAAAATTCCAACTCAGAGTGACAGCTTGTGGGGAATTAGCATTCTGTGGTGAACATGAAATGGGGTAATACACAGACTTCTTTCACTCTTGTGGGCTCTCAAAGCCACTGTCCCTACCCTCAAAACAATTAGGAGGCCAGGGAGCTATAATATTTGCATACATAGAATTCTTTTCCACTATTTTTCCTCAGAGGAGGGACACCACTTCCCAAAAGGTCCCCCACTGGGCTAAGGTAAATGGTAGGTGATGTGACAGCAGGCATCCTGACATGTTGTCCCTCAAGTACTGTCATTCATATGCACCTTCCTTAGCCCCAAAGACCTCGGAGGTTCCTCCCAGGCTTTGGGCCCTGCTGTACTATTTAGTCTCTCATGGAGTTAGCTGGCCCCCATCTCCATGTAGGTGCCAAAGAGCACTGGACTGGGGGCCACATGTCACTACCAGAAATGGGTGTTCTGGTAGAATGACTCAGTGCCCACCTTTGTTAGCTCTGCAAATCAAAAGTGTGAGAGAGAAGGGCCGGGCACAGTGGCTCATGCCTGTAATCCCACCACTCTGGGAGGCTGAGGAGGGTGGATCGCTTGAGCTCGGCAGTTCCAGACCAGCCTAAGCAAGAACAAGACTAAGACTCTATCTCTAAAATAATTAAATAAAAATAGCCAGGCATTGTGGCAGGCACCTATACACCCAGCTACCTGGGAGGCTGAGGAACAGGATCACTTGAGCCCAAGAGTTTGAAGTTGCTGTGAGCTAGGATGCCACAGCACTCTACCCAGGGCAACTGAGTGAAACTCTGTCTCAAAAAAAAAAAAGTGTGAGCGAGAAAAAGGAATGGGGAGGAATCTCTCATGTGGTTTGGAGGGGCATAAGCAGTAGTAGGTACTTAAAACTGCCACACTCAACCTATAAACTTGAAATATACAGTTAAAACCTTAGGACTGGGCTCGGCGCCTATAGCTCAACCGGCTAGGGCGCCAGCCACGTACACCTAAGGTGGCGGGTTCGAATCCCCAGCCCGGGCCCGCCAAACAACAATGACGGCTGCAACCAAAAAAATAGCCGGGCGTTGTGGCGGGCGCCTGTGGTCCCAGCTGCTTGGGAGGCGGAGGCAGGAGACTCGCTTGAGCCCAGGAGTTGGAGGTTGCTGTGAGCTGTAATGCCACGGCACGCTACCCAGGGGGAGAGCTTGAGGCTCTGTCTCAAAAAAAAAAAAAAAAAACCTTAGGACTGCCTTTTGAACCAGCATCCTCACTTCTAGGGAAAGGAAGTTAAGTAGGCAAAAGGTGCTTTACTGTGAGGTTTACAACAGCAAAAAATTAAGAACCACCCAAATGTTTCTCATAGGTGACTGAGCAAATATATTACAATGCATCCTTACAATAGAATACTATGCAGCCATTAACATCAATGAGGTAAAATAGTCATGGAATGGTGTTCCAGTATATTAGGTTTAAAAAGTAGATAATAAAGTAGGACATATGGTCTCATTTTCATTACAAAAATGTATCTGCACAGAAAGAAGTTGAGAGGTAGTTATACGAAGGCATTAAAAGTGGTTCTTTTTAGGCATTAGAATTTTGGTTGATTCAAATTTCTTTTTTGCTTCTTTTCTATTTTCATATAAGACGAGGAATGTTAGTATGTATAACATGTACCCCTCAAAAAAGAGCAATAAAGCTCAAGAGAGAGAGCAGGGCCAGGTAGACGTCTCCTTCAACACTGGATGGCCCTGAACGTATCAGTAGCAAGGTGGTAGATTCTGTGTTCTACCACGTTCCTGCTGTCACAGCTGCATGGTATGACGGGCAGAGTCTCTCTACTCCCACGATTCTTTGAATGTACTTGGAGTCTTCTTCCTAGTGAGTCTGACCACCTTCTCAGTTTAGTCTAAGAACTGGCAGACATCCAGCAGCAGCAGGAACCCCAGGCAGGTAATGGTTGGGATGCAGGTGCTTAGTGATTCTTCCAGAGACACCAAGGTGAAGAGAGCCCCTGGAATGGAAAGTGAGGCCCCTGAGGCTCCCTGGGAGAACCAAGGAGATCTAGGAGCTCAGGGCTCTCCAGCCTAGGCCGACCCACTCTAACCCAAGCCCTGCCATTAATCACCTCCCCCCCCCCCATACAACTAGTTGCATTTATCACTCATCTCTCTCGTCCCCCAGAGAAAGCAGGACCAGGAATTAGAAGGCTCTTCAACTAATGTAGCTCCACTCAGGTCAAGAGACAAACAATCTAGCAAAACAGAAAAGGGGCTAAAGTGGGCAGATTGGGCTTCTCCCTGATCTCCTTTCTTAATCCTACGCCTACTGGAGTGAAGGAGGCCCAGGGGTTGGTGATGAAGGTGTAGGAAAGATCTGAAGATAAGAGAAGCTCCAAAAATGGAAAGAAAGCCTGGGGGGCGGGGCAGGCTGGTAGTGGTGGCAGCGATGGTGACACAGGCCAGAGGACACCCTGAAGAAGTCTGGCCTTAGAAGCAGCAGCAGCAGCTGTCCTCCTATATCAGCAATTCCCCTTCTCTGGGGAAATTCCTTGCCTTCCAGTTAGAGGGCCCCAGCTTTCCTGATCTCCACACCAAGCTGCCAGACACACAAGTCAAGTGGCAGCTGCTGCTCCACCCCCTTCCAGCACTGCCTGTGGAGAGAGGAAAAGGAGCCCTGACGCTACAAAACATTCTCATTGGAGTACTATGCAGCCTAGAACTGAGGAGGGGCAAGGTATATTTGACATGGGATAGTCTTACAGTATATTAAGTTGAAAAATCTGTACTAGTCTGAAGACTATGGAAACTGCAGTAGACCAGGAAAGTGCTCCTGGTCCCAGAGAAAAAGGAAAGGTGGCATCTGTAAAGGGGACAGCCAGGGCTTTCCATTGTCCTCCCCCAGAAGACCCCATTTGCTCAGGCCTGGTGGCCCCTTACCCATCATGAGCAGGATCAAGAACAAGTTACTGATCTTTTGCAGCATCGGTGGGCCGGTGACCAGCAGCACCCCAGCCAGCAGTTCCAGCCAGCCCACAGCTGTTTGGTAGCTCACTGGATCTGGCTGGTAGCCGAACACCTTCAACGGGAACACCTCAGCAAACTGCACGAACAGGGCTTTCTAGGGCCAGCAGGGGAAGGCCAGTCAGCCACACTCACTGAGGATGCGCTGCCCAGGCACTCCACACTGGCATTCTGTTCCTGCACCCTCAACTCCCCAGACATAGAACAACTACTATTCTAGATGTGGGCCTGAGGTCGGCAAGGAGAGGGCTGTCCCGAAGGACTGAGCTTTGGAATCAGGAAAAGGCTCTATGCTCCCAGGGAGAAGGGCTCAGTGGTGGTACAGACTGACTGATGTTCTGCCAGACTGCTCAACAGATGACAACCCAGTCCCAAATCCCCAGAGAGGGAGCTGAGCATGGCTCTCTACCTAGAGCCAAGGTCTGGGGAACTTTGCAGCTTCCTTCTCTGGGTCTGGCCTGGTTCCTCTTCAGGCTGCTATGCAGGGTCTATTTAGAGGAGGGGACCGAGGTGGAAGGATTCATTAAACAGATTTCATCTTGAATCTTCTAGGTTGGGTCCTGATCCCAGGAAACAAGGGCAGGGCTCAAAGTGATTCTTCTGGCAGAGTCAGATCCTGGGCCAAATGACAACCTTCCCCTGACCCTCAGGGCTATAATTCCTGCTTCCCACTGCTCAGCTCTGCAGTGGAAGCAGCTCTGTGTGGCTGCGGGGATGCACTTCCCGAAATAACCCACCCCCTGAGCCCGAGCAGAGGAGTGTCCAGACCTGGGAGAGGGAGGCCAGCAGAGGTCTCCAAGTCTGGCTTCTGTGTGGGGCTGAGGGATTGGAGGGCAGGACACGGACGCCTTCTTGTGAGTGGTGAAACTAGACAGGCAGCTTCTAGGCTACACTCTGGGTTCTGAGGGGGGTTTTTTTGGTAGGAAAGGTCTTTATTGGCGAGGGATGCTGCAGAGCAGCACCAAGGAGGAGGGAGGAGAGAAGAGTGAGGAGGGAGAGGAGAGGAAAGCTGGTTCTGAGTTTTTAAGTGTCTTCTCCGGCTTGCGGCTAGCTGTGCAACCTCAAGCAGGTACACTTCACCTTCAGGGCCGGGTTCAGTTGCGAGAAGTTAAGCAATAGGGGCCGGGCACTTTTCCACTGCACCCTCCTCCTCTGGCTCTAAATTTGCCTGTTCCTTTCCCCGCCCTCTAGGGAAGCTCCGAAGGGCTGGAAAAACTCCCCAGGAAGAGGCCCGCGCCTCCGCTGCGGGGCAGGCACGTCCCCCAGCCGCAGCTGAGCCTCGGGAGCCCGAGGGCAGGCAGGGCCGGCCCGCGGGGACCCGGGCGGAGCACACGCCGCCGGCCGGCCGCCCACGCCGCGCCGCTCACCATCTGCTCCGACGCAGGAGCTGAGATCTGCTCCGAGAGCTTGGCCGCCCCCGTGAGCGCGAAGAAGCCTCCCAGCAGGACGCGCAGCGCCGCGAGCAGGAGCGCCATGGCCGCGCTCGGCCGGCGGGACGCCCTGGGGTTGGCCCGGCGAAAACCCGCCCCTGCCGTCGGTTCATTTCCTCCCTCCCGGGGAGGCCGGAACACCCGCGCCAGAGCCTCCTCTCCCCTCGCCCGCCACGGGGTCGCCACCCTGTTCTGGCCCCCGCCCTGGCCCTGACTCACTGAATCGGCTCCTTTGAATTCAGGGACAGTCTTTGTTTCCCAGCCCATACGAGGCTAACACCCCTGGGTATCTGGATGTGATTCCGTTAACTATCAAAAGACCCCCGAGCTTGGTTCTTGCCTGGGTCACACAAGCTGTGAGATCCGAGCTGTGGCCCAACCCCGTGGGGCTTCAGTGTCTCCATCAGTATATGGGGATATCACCTTAACAATTTTCCAGAGTTTCTGAAAGGCCTAGTACAAAACTTGCACAAGTAAGAGCTCAGAAAGTTATTTATAGACCAGTAAATTATCAATAACCATAATCATTAAATTGTTCTTTTCTATCTCCGCCTGGAATATCTCGTCTCTCTAATTTCTCTCAGCTGAAAATGAAATGTGACAGGTGTTTGAAAATCCAGGTATTCGCAGCCCTGGAGAGAGCGGCTTTCACTGAGCAAGTCTACAGGCCACTCCTGGCCCATGTGCTCTTACCTGGAAATCTGTGTAGAGCTGGGATGGGCAAAATAGGGGCCAAATCTGGCCATCTGTCTGGTATTTTCCACTCTCCTCTGCCCCCCCAGGCTAATAATGTTTACTTTGGATAACAGATTTTTAAAGAAGCTTGCGCCACACATCAAAACTATATGAAATTCTCATTTCAGTGTTCACAGAAGTTTTATTGAAACACAGCCACACTCATTTGCATACTGTCTGTGGCTGCTTGCTGAGAGAGTAGTTGTGATAACATGGCCCTGCAGAGCCTAAATTATTTGCTATTTGGCCAAGCCAAATTTGGCCAGAGATGCCCCAAGGAGTCGTCTCAAACTCCCTGCTGCTTCCATTTCTTGTTAGCCAAGCTGCTTAGATCTTGCTTTACCACCTACTCACACCTTTGCTGGGGTAGATAGCTGGTTGGCTAAACACTAAAATGTCCCACGTGCTTCTAAAGCCAAGCTGTATCAACATCCAGGTTGTGCTATCGCCTTATACATTGGGTGGGCCTTTTACTAGCTGCAATCCTTGTCACTAGTCCAAATGTATGGATCGATAAAATAACTAAATTCTCTATCCTGGATTACAAAATGTTTACATAATTATGTACAAATGCATAATTAATAAATTCTTCAGTAAAAACGGAAAAATGAAAACATCATTTAACCACTGAAAACACAAATCCACATTAGGAAAATTGTATTTTAGGATACTTATACAAAACTTAACACAAAATTATTGACTTTGATGATAAGCAATATACGTGTTGCTAGTCTTTCTCCTTTACTAATTTTTCTATCCTTGGAATTAAAGATGTGACTGCAAGTCTTACAGCAGGGCCAGAAACCAATAGATTTCTTTGTTTTGACTCAGTCAAAGCTGAAAAGGCAGCATCACATAAGTAAACAGTTGAAAAAGGTAATAAAAAGTTCATCGCTCTTTCATGGAGTTCTGGGTAACTTGTCTTTGCGTTTATCCAAAACTGAGTTACAGACATGGATCTAAATTCTGACTGTAATCCTAAATCTGAAGATAACTGTGTTAGTTTTTCTTCTTCAAAGTGGGTGAGATTATTATTTTGGTGATTCATAAAAGGATTAAGTATCCAGAAATTTCCAGAACGCAAGTCTTCGTCTGGTGGAAAACAGTCGTAAAACATTTGAGAAAGTCCTTCCAGATGTTCAAAGATAACGTTCGTGAGGTTTCTCATATTTACATCTGATGAGTTTGAGAATTCAGAAAATGAAGGAAACATGTCATAATCATTCTCTTGTGTGCGCTTCAACCACATTTCTAACTTTCTCTTAAATACGTCGATTTTATTGTGCAAGTTGAAGAAAGTAGTCAAAGTTCCTTGGAGACTTAAATTTAACTCACTTATAAGTGAAAATATATCTGATAAATAGGCCAGCTTTGCAACCCATTCCTCATCATGAAAATACTTGGCCAAATCTGAATGTGTCTGATTCAAGAAGATTTCGATTTCGTGTCGTAACTCAAACAATCTTGTTAAAATTCTCCCTCTTGATATCCAACGTACTTCAGCATGAAGTGGGAGATCCACGTGCTCAGACCCCATCTCTTCACACAATATTGTTAACAGACGTGAATTCAATGCATTGCTCTTTATAAAACTTAAAATTTGTGCTGCCTGCAAAAGAATTTTATGTAAGCAGGGAGACAACTTTTCTGCTACTAAATGTTCCCGATGAATAAAACAATGTGTAAATGCCACTGTATTCATGGCAACTTCTCGAATTTTTGCCCTTAGACCAGAATACCTGCCAGTCATACTTGCAGCCCCATCGGTACAGAGACCAACACAGTGCTTCCAATTCAGAGATTTACTATCAATATATCTATTTATTAGTTCAAATATTTCAAAACCAGATATATCAGAAGGTATTTCAATGCAAAATAATAATTCTTCTTTTATATCACTACAGTCATAATCGATGAACCGAATATAGCACAAAAGAAGAGTGATATTTGAGATTTCTGATGACTCATCTATCTGAAGGGCAAACCACTTGGACTCTCTGACCTTTTGAATTAGCTGGTCCTCAATGTCTGCAGATAGTTCATCAATCCTGTGTCCAATCATATTATTAGAAAGGGGAATGGTTTTCATTTTGTCTCCAGCACTTGAACCTAAAACTTCTGAACACATTTCTACTAAGTACGGTTTAATAAATTCGTCAGCAATGGAGAATGGCTTCTTGCTGGCAGCAATTTGGAAAGCAATTAAATAAGAAGCTTTCACAAGTGACTTTTCAACCAGTAAACACTTTTTTAAATAACTATTTTGACATTCCATTTCAAGAGATTTTTGTTCAAAAAACTCTAGTGGTTTGTTTCCTAATTCTGAATGTTTTGTCTTCAAATGATGAGAAAGACTTGCCAGCTTCATGTTTTCACTGGCTAAGATCTCTCCACAAATGACACACTGCGGCCTTGGTGAACTTTCTTTCGATCCAGGACAGATAATAAAACCAACTTTTAAATATTCCGCATCATAAGTGTGGAAAAAACCCATTCGCTTTTTCTTTGCAGGTGGAGAATCAAGTTCTGTATCACTTTTCTCATTAGGCATTGGTAAATCTGAATGAAATATTTGAATCGCTGTTATTTTCAAGAACTTATAAATAAGCAATATTCTTTAGGTTTCTCTCCACACATTTAAAATTTGTATTTTGTTACTATTTATAGAATACACTGATTAAAGTTTAAACACAAACCATAATACCTCCACGATGTACAGACTGCAATAAAACTGTAGGCTATGGTACAGTTAATTCCAAGAATCTAATAGATTACTGGAATTAGGGATAAAGTTCACAGAATACAGCAAATTAAGAATAAATTAAAATACATTACTTTCAAAGAGTTTAGAAAAAAACATTACGAAATAAACGTCTGCCAAATCGAGATGAATGGCATATTAGTGTTCACTGTACTATTTTTCTTTTTTCTTTTTTGAGACAGTGTCTCACCATGTTGCCCTCAGTAGAGTGTTGTGGCATCACAGCTCACAGCAAACTCAAACTCTTGGGCTTAAGCAATTCTCCTGCCTCAGTCTCTCAAGTAGCTGGGACCACACAACGCCCGCCACAACGCCCGGCCATTTCCTGTTGCAGTTGTCATTGCTGTTTTAGCTGGCCTGGGCGGGGTTCGAACCTGCCAGCCTCAGGGTATGTGGCTGGTGCCATAACCACCATGCTATGGGCACCAAGCTGACTGCACTGTATCTTCAACCCTTCTGAATTTTGAAATTTTTCAGAATTGAAATTACAAAAAAAAAAAGGGAAATTATTAATTTTAATAGTGTCAGTGAGGTTGCACAGCAATGGATCCACTCAAACACTACCGGCTGGAGCATAAATTGAGGCAACTTTTCAGGAGAGGCAAATTAGCAAAAGGTATCAATAGCCTTAAAAATCTATGATAACCCTTCTATCAGTAATTCTGCTTAGGATTCATCCTAAGGAATAATTAGACAAGCAGACAAAGATCCATTAAAACTCTTCAAATTGCTTATTTAAAAAATCCAAATTTTAATTTAGGGAGTTGGTTATATTAACTACATTGAAATCTATGTCTGTTAAGAATCTCAAAATATTTATACTGATGTGGAATGATGTTTCCAATGCAATGTTGAATGACAAAGTAGTTTACAACAGCATTAGAAAACAATCTAACATTTAATCTAGAATTCAAAAAAATGTATAAGCACACACATACCCACATATATAGATGTCCACAGATCCTTTACTACCCTCCACATGTGTGTATATAATATAAATTCACGTGCACAGAGTGTATCATTTTAACGGGAATATAAAATAATCAAATTTCCTGAGGAAGGAAAACAGGATTCTCTTTGACTTTTATTAAAAGAAAGGCACCCTATATAAAAACTCATGATTACATGTTGACAGACTGAGCTTTTAAATACAGTACAAGCTATGAAGTAAAATCACATTAAAAACAAAAAATAAAAACTGCTTTAGGCAGAGTAACTATTAAAATAATTAAAAACCTAAGGGTAGTAGGATTAAAAGTAGCTAACATGGATTGGGACAAGTATAAATTCAAACAGTTTTCCTGATCACCAACAGCTCAGACTTACTAGTTGTATTTTTTGACAACTGACAACTGAATTCACAATGTTTAAAAAAAAAAAAAGGCAATGAGGTAGCTCATGCCTGTCATCTTAGCATTCTGGGAGGCTAAGGCAGGTGGATTGCTTGAGCTTGAGGAGTTCAAGACCAGCCTAAACAAAGTGAGACCCTATCCCTATCCCAACAAAAGTGAGACCCTATCCCTGAGAAAAAGTTCGGTGGGCATTGTGGCCTATCGTCCTAACTAGGAAGGTTGAGGCTGGAAGATCACTTGCGCCCAAGAGTTTAAGG